CAGAAGTCTGAGACTCGGAAGGGCAGCAATGAAGGAACTAAGGAGATCATCCACACTGGTGTAATTCCTGGCTACTATATACAGGTGTTAAAGCTGGACAGTGAAGAAAGCTGTCAAGAAAAACTGATTTGTTTGGGAAATGGTGCTGGAGGAGAGCTTTGTAAATACCCTTAACGGCTAGAAAGACCAACTAGTGGATCCTACTGCAAATCAAGCTTGAACTATCTCTGGAGGCAAAAATGATGCAACTTGGGACTGCCATATTCTGGTACAACATTAGGCAAAGTTTTCTGAAAAAGACAATAATGGTGGGAAAAGTTGGAGGTAGCAGAAAAAGAGGAGAACCAAACATAACATGAATTGACTCCATAAACAGAAGACACCGCCTTGAGTCTGCAGAAGCTGAGCCCGGCTCATCCGTCGGAGGCGACCTGATGGCGTGTAACAACAGCAGCAACCGACAAATGTGCAGAAAATGATGTGACAAAGCACGCCATGAGGACAGAAGTTTATGCAGCTACCAGTAATGGCCACGAGTCATGAACAGATGGGCTTGTCATGGTTTCCTTAGGCGAGGGACCGTTTGTGCACCGGTAAGATCCTAATGTTAATTATGGCAGGGGTATGCCAGTTAGAACATGCCTCCCATTTTGAGCCTTGAAGGAAACCAACAATCGGTGAAATCCAAATTTGCACTTCTGATTTGTGAAAAGCTCTGATGACCTGAGAGGATAGGGCAAGGTGAAACCGGGCCTTCTCGGCGGTGGCCCCTCGGCTGTGGAACGCCCTCCCCAACGAAATTCGGCCGGCACCCTCGCTGGGCGTTTTCAAAAGCCAACTGAAAACTTGGCTGTTCAAGCAGGCCTTCCCTTCAGTCAATTATTAAGGGATGCTTATTTCTTATTTTCTTTCCTTTTAACTCATGCCATCTTCGGACTCTTTGCTTTAAATGAACGGTTAAAATTGTGAGCTCTTTGATTTTATATTTCTCTGTTTTTAATCTATGTAAATTGTGTATATTTTAAATTGTTTCTCTTTGTATGTTGCGAGCCGCCCAGAGCAGACCATGTCTTCGATGGGCGGCATA